TAAAATACAGACAGATGGACAGAAAAAAGACAGACTGAAAAAAAGAGCACACATGCCTTGTGAAAATGCTATACATTTTTAAAGTAATCATCATGTAACTTGTAGTGTCTCTTTTGGAGGATGTTATTTATTGTAAGACATCATTTTTATTAAATACACTGTAGTACAAGAGACTTTCCATGTCAGGTTGAGAGAAGCTGGTCACATGATTTACAAACAAAACTTTTTTTTTTTTTTAAACACTGATATTCTGGTGTCACTTTGAAATCAGCCAAGATGCAGTGGGTCTTAGTAAAGCAATGGACCTCAAAACAGATCGCAAAACAAGAACCAGTAAGTATTAGCACAGAGACGTCACATTAAAAGGAATATAAAGCAAATAAAAAGGGGTTCCAAATACCAGGTCACAATTTAAGGGGCAATATATCTTCAGAGAGATATTGAAATGTGTGTGTGTGTGTATATGGCCTGGATATATACAAACATCTCTCCATGTACAGAAGCAGATGCAGACAGTGTCCACATCTCTCGGCAGATTTGTAAGTGATAGGTAATGATCAATGAATGCAGGGAGCAATATTTCACAAGAATTTGGTCATTTGTCAAGGGATTACATATTTAAAATCCACATTTAATTCAAAGACCTTGTATTTAAAACATTTCCAGTTGTTTTATACATTATTAAAGCAATAGTAAGATATACAAGCTGCAAGATGTAGGCCTTTATACATTTCATTTCATTTTCTTCTATTTTTTTTTCCAGTCCAAACATGTGGCTATTAGCAGCTTTTATTATGCTTGCTCCGTTATGTTGAACGTTCAGCCAACCTTCACTCAGGATCATTTTCGTTAATGCACAGACCAAAAGAAAAAAAAAAGAAAACAAACACGGACCTGGCCTAGAATGCATAGACTTAAAAAAATGACATCCCCATGTGTTCTCGTTTCGTCTCCTGAGACGTATGTTAAGATGGCAAAAGAGTTGCTTGGTTGCTGTTGTGAATTTCACAGTGTTTTGCCTGCGACACATATACACACATATATATATATATATTTTTTTGCTTTGCTTTGTGTTTGTGATGAATGGAGCCAAAATATATATATAAATAAATGAATAAATAAATAAATAAATACATAAATAAAGGTAGAAGGAGAAGGGGGACACAATGCAAAAACTAAGAATATTCAAGAACCTTTGACTTGAGCAGCAGTGATTCATTCCAGCCCCGACAATGAGAAAAAACCCTTTCATGTGTTGTTGTATTTAATTACAAATCTCTCCTGCCCCGAATTCTTTAGAATAACATTTGTTATCACAACCTGGGAGTCTCTGCATTCCACAATTATGCACTATGAAGGAAGTGCTTTAACTTCCATTAGCCATTTGAGGATTGGGTCACCGGCCATTCCCCTAGTGAGATTTTCTGTGATGGGCAAAACCGAACTCAACATTGGAAATGAAAATCCTCAAATGGGAGGAAAAAAAAAAAAAAAGAGAGAGAGAGAGAGAGAGCAAAAGAATTGAGTGTGTGTGTGTACGGAGTCATTTATTTAATTAGACATACAATTTAATACTATTGGCATTATAGAAGATCCAATTTGCAAAAAGGGAAGGTTAAAAAGAAACATCTGTTCCTGACCAGGGGATCCTTTTGTCATGGCTCTTTGCAAAGGACAGCATTTGTACTGTTGTTGCTTTGTATTCCCACTCAGATATGGGAATTCCTAAGAGTCGTTCGCCTTGCGGTGGGGTCTTGGACTTCTCACCATTGGCCTTTGAGACACTGGGCTCCCGACATTCCGGTTCTCTTCTGGAATGCTTGGACTCTGAACAGAAGTGTAAAGGGGTCACAGCGGGACAAGGTGAGCATAACACAAATGTGCAAACAGATGACCAAAAAAAAAAAATCAATTTTCCTTTCCTGGACCTTTACATAAGGAGATCTATTTCAGTCTGCATTCTCCTTTGCAAGGAGCCAGGGAAAGGACTCAGTGTAGTGGGATGGCTTTGATTCAGTTGTTTTGGGAAGCACATTATCTTAAATATGTCTTCCACCCATGCAGTACTGCACAGAGTTGAAAAGTGTGATGTAGTCCTACCCACATGGAGAATGGAAGCACTAACCGCAATGGGACATTAAAAAGTTTTGGTTATTTAGCAGATTTTAAGCAAATTATTCATACTGCACCCTACTTATCATTATCTCTAGTACTGTGTGCCTATACATTTATACATAAGCATACAAACACCCTGTGTCTATGTGTCTGTATATGTATAAATCAAGTATTTATAACACACATATAAATACATGAAAATACCACAGGTAGTGCGGATGTGAACACATATGTATAATATGGATTCTGATAGGATCTTTTATAGCATAGTTCAAAATGTTTTCTAAATAAGCCTGATTATGATGCTGGTTCAGTGTACAAAGATTGAGCTGAAGCTATAAGCATGATTATATATCACGATATTTCAGCTGCTTGTCATCTCACGTATGTTGTTTTCTTCTTCCAACCATGTCCTGCTTTGTGAGTTTACCAGCATGCTTGCTTTCTTGGACCGTTTGTATCCTGGAGTCTCTAGCGGACAGAATCATGAACTTCAGAGTCAGAACAATTAGATTCAATCCCACTGGTGCCAGAAGCGAGCCTGGAGATTTTTAGCATGCCACTCAACTTCTCCGAGCCTTGATTTCCTCCCTTACAAAAAATGGGAATAATTGGCTAACAGATGTGAAAAGCGCCTGGAAAACTATGAAACAATTGGTAAATGGAAACAATAGTCAGACTGAGTTTGGGCGAGAGAATTAGGTTCGTCCCTACTGCTGTTGGAGTTTTTCACAAATTGGGTAGCAGGCCATGTTCTGTGATCGTTACACTTCAGAACGAGGATGTTCCTTTTCTAAAAACCAAAAGAGCATGAGAAGAGGGGATGGTGGAAGAACAGCGATGACTATTTTAAGCTATTCTGTGGTTCGTTCAATCTGGTATTCTTTCAATGCGAGACGTCTCTGAAATCACATACTCTTGAGACAACAGAGAAAAAAATAATAATAATGATCAGCAATATAAATAACTGTAAAACTTTGCACTTGCATAGAACCTTTAATTTCAAGACCTTGAGGGACTTGTCAGAAGGTAAGGAGATTTGTTTTGTTTTGTTTTGTTTTTGTTTTTTGCTTTTTTCCTTCAGAGGAAAACACATTGGAATGGAATAGAATGCTCCCATCTTCTCATTTGCCTTAAACAAATCCTTGCTTTAAAACTGTGCAGCCTTTCTTGAATTTGATCCCTTAGCATATTTATCTCCTTTGCTCTCTGTTAAAATAAAACAAATAACTTGCAGCTTCTCCCCCCACCCCCTGCCACCCCCCCTCCGCCCCGCCCCCAAGCAGCTGACCAGTCACGCAGAATGACAAATCTGTGCAGGTGTTCAGGTCATCACTGATGGAATCTAGAAAGGTTTTGTACAAATCTGCCCCTTCTTTACTGCTTCACAGAGTGCCACAGTGTTTTAACAGTACCATGGGTCCTTGATAGGATATATACGTGCAGGTATATATCATGGAGATATGGCTTTCGTTATATTGTTATGTGTATTCTGGAGGGTTTTTTTTTCACCGACAAAGAGAACAATCAACTCAGCTCCTGTGTCTCATAGGCCAGTGCAGAACTTGAAGGGACTGTAGGGTTCATCTTGTTCAACCCCCTTCACTTGACTGCTGATGCTACTCGGTTTCCTTTTGTTCTCTGTTAATTGACACTTGTTTTTTTGAGAACAGGCTCTCAAAGCCTATAAATGGAAAATAAGGTGCTCCAGGAATTAAGGGCGCAAGCAAAATCGGAACAGAGCAATTGCACCTTCAGAAACAAATACGAAATAAAATGTCCTAAGATGAATTAAAATCACTCACTTTCAATCTGTCTTGTGTTATAAAGATGTCAAGTTAGCAAAATTCCCCTCACAGAGGGTAGCAAGGTTTCTTGAGGAACAGAAATATTTTTCTTCCTTGGTAAAACCGATCATCCAAATAACTGTAAATTTCTATTTAAATTTACAACCTCTTTTCGCAAAACCCACGACTATACCCAGAAGCACACCTCCAAAGCTTGGTCTGGGCATAGCTTCCCATTGGCATACTGTGCCTGATTTTTTTAAAATTTTTACTTCTTTTAATGGAGTGGAAAAAAACAAAACAGCATACTGACAATGGAGTACACTGGGAATGAAACCTCTCTCCCAACCAGAGCCCAGAGCAGGGTCTTGGCCTGTGCACGCTGAACATCAATGTATGTGATGCCCCCAGGGTGAGGTTTCTTTTCCCTTGTGGACTGAGTCTGCCCTTTCCACAGTCCCACAGTCCGTTCGAAGTGGATGAGGACATCCAGGCTTCAGGGTCCATATTCGCTAAAACCCATCGCCACCATACGACCCAGAGACATTTATACTCAGCTAATGAACTCCATTAGCTTCCCCTAATTATATAAGTTATACCTTTTATGGATCTGCTCTACATATCAGGGGCACGACGTCTGGAGCGGTAGTTTCTGCACACAAGGTATCAATCGACGAAGACCATGCACAATTTTGCTTGCACAGTTTAAAGGACAGGTGGGGCGGAGGGGAAGGGTCGGAGGGAACCACTATCTGAAAAGTTCAATATAATGCCTCCGAATTTATAGCTTGTCCTATCTTTTCCAAGTCTTTGGCTTTCCCACCTGACCCTGAAACGACCTCTGGACAAGAATTCACCCATTTTCAGCTAAACTCGACAAAAGTTCAGTGGACAACACCTGGAAAGACAAACCAGTGCTATCACCATGACCTGCAAAGACAAGACTGTCCGGGTGTGTGATGCGCCATCTTGCGTCTCATGGAAGCCATCTTTTCTCTGTACTACACCCTAGTGTTTCTGGTGATGGGAAAAGAATAGTCCATGGCACAGAGTCCAACAGTCTTTTTACTCCTCAGAAAGCTCCTCAGGGGAAGGTGCCGAATACATTCCTCCCAGCTAACAGTCGCTGGGTTTTTCCTAAGTAGGGACTGACGCCAGCTGATCCCAATGGTTGTCTTTGTTCCTCCCATACTGTGGTTTATAATAAATCTTCTTTCTCTCTGGTTTTAATCTCCCATAGATAAAGGCTTCCCAGATTAAACACAAGTTTTCCTGTTTCATACACAGGCTTAAGCCATCCAAAAACAATAAGAACAGTAATAATAATAAATAAATAGAAGTGAATCCATAGAAACTCTCGATGTCTGTACAGCAGAAGTGACAAAGTTTAAGTCAAATATTTGTTTTCCCTTTTTTTCATCCACATCAAAGGCAGGAATACAACAAGGCATTGTTAGTTGTGGTGGGCAAACTGGAGTGTCTGCTGATATAACAAATTAGGGTTGTTAAGGCCTTTGTCTATGCAGAGTTAATAGTAATGCAGAAGCCAGATTGATTCAAAAGAAGGGGTAAGGGCTATGAAGCAAGGAAGACCAAAAAAGAAAAAAAAAGACCAAAAACAAAAAAAAAAAAGAAGAAGAAAAGAGAAAACAAAAACTAGGGAAGAAACCAAGGGAGGTGGAAAGAGAGAAAGAGACAATGCCAAAAAGAAGTTCATACTGTGTCTACGGATGGAGAAGTGCACATGGCTTCCCTCTGAAAGCCTCTCGGTGTCTTTGTTGTTAATACTGTCGGAGTGAAGAACAGCAGATTGATGGCATCCAGCGGCAGTTAAAAGACGTTCATCCTCTCGGCCCATCTGAGGAGGTGCTTTGGGAAGGATCGGTCTGGGGGAAAGGGCCCTAGCCTAGAATATCCAGGTAGACCGGAGATGCCTTGGCCAAGTTCTGAAGGAGGGTGTGGATGCCCTTGATGTTCTTCCTCATATGGGGCTCTCGCTGCCAGCACCCCAGCATCAACTCGTAGACCTCCTGGGGGCACGTTCTAGGTCGCTGCAAGACTCGGCCCTGAGTGATACATTCTATCACCTGGACAGGACAGAGATCGAAGACAGAATCAGACAAGAAGAAAAACAAAGCCAGTAAAACAAACGTCCGTGCAAGGAGAGGGCCGCCCTAAAGAAAACCACTCAGTGTTCACTTTTTTTTTTTTTTGAAGGAAGAGAACAATTATTATAGGTTGGTAAATCATGGTTAATTTCATTGGTTTATATCCCTTTTTCTAGGCACACCAATGTCGTCAAACTGGTGGAGAAATGCTTTCTCTCTGTGGGGTGCTCCCACACCTCACTCTGGAATTCCAATGTGTTTCAGTCTTACTGGCCTGTGATGGAGCCTGGAACTTTCACGTCAGGGTGCTGACTGACAAGGGGACTCCAAGCTGTGGAAATGAGAGGAGTTGGGATAAGACAGATGTGGGCCTGAAGAGGATGTGAGGTGCCTGACCAAGAAGCTATGCCTCAAGTATAGACAATAGTTGTAAAATAATTGAAATGGGAAAATAAAACACTAGAATGTTCTAGTGAAATGTGCAAAAAAAAAAAAAAAAGCCTTAAAACCTTATTGAATACTACCAAAAAAACTAGTTGGATTCTGAAGGTGTGGGGGTGCCACATCTGCTACAAATTTACCAGATGAGCAGCACAACACGATCCCTCTGTCCCATCACTGGCGAGTCCCAAGTGTGTCAGCAAACACTGCTTTTCTTTCTCTAGAACTCTTAAACTCAGAGAGTGACTAGACTTTGGCCATGACATTTAGGTATAGAGAGGCCATGTGGGCGGTGCTGCTCCCCACAAAGCCACACAACTTTGTCTCCTGGCCTCCAGCTGAGGGACGCCTCTGGACGTCAGCCCTTGGGGGTCTCGCCCAGCCCACTGCGCACCTCGTTGTTGGACAGCTGGTACCAGGGCTGTTTGCCGTACGTGAAGATCTCCCACAACACGACGCCCAGGCTCCAGACATCACTTTCTGTGGTGAACTTCCTGTACATGATGCTCTCTGGAGGCATCCAGCGAATGGGCAGCATTGTGTGGCCACCAACCTGGTGGAGAGGGGGAGAAAGGAGGCATCAGTCACCCGGAAACCAAGTTCCCATCATCAGGGGGAGGAAGGGTAGAATGCAAATGAGGGGGGGCACTTTTGTCCTTCCCTTTATTTGTATTTGCTAATTCTAATTATTTATAAACACATGAGGGAAATACAATTTCTTTATAGGAAACAAGCAACAGAGACAGAGGGCAAAGAATGGTCAAAGTATTTTTTTCATATTTTTTTGCTATTCTCTCTTTCTGGTAACTAGATAGGGCAGAAAGAGATGACGATGGGGCGGATGTTCATCCTGGATAAAACACACAGACACACAGACACACAGACACACACACACACACACACACACACACACAGACACACACACACACACACACACGAGCTTCCTGGTATGAAGGTGATTCAGTCTTCTAATTAACTTTGGCCAGGAAACAAGTAGGAAGCTGTGTCCAAAATGATCCACCAAATGACTCTACTTTCTTAGCAAGCCTGGAGCTTCCTTCCACTTGCAGGTCTTAGGATGAGTGCACAGTGCTGCCTCAAATGCCCTCACACAATCCAGCCATGGGCAGGGCAAAAACGATTAGTCCCACTTTACAGATGAAGCAACGGAGGCTCACGTTGCTATGGACACAAAGAAGTCAGGTCTTCGGACCCCAAGCTTAGGACTTTGCTCCACTACAATTGAGCTTGTGTACAAAAATAAAGAGATCCAGTTTGGGGAAAGTCCATTTTATGAAAACAGTAAGGCTGAGGCATTAGATGGCAAGAGCTTTGCCACAGGCATAGGGTACTTTGTTTGACAAGGACACTTGTTTATGATTTCCGACTTCCTGGAGAAAAGTTAAGAATTTCATGTTTTGGTTTGTAGCCCATCGGGGCTGTCTGATCTTAAAACCATGATCAAATTTCTGCACAGTAGCCCTGTGGGTGGTGGGTCCCGGTTTTCACGCTGGAAAACCCAGAGCTACCAGACCAAACGTACTGCCAGATGCCCGGGTGACAGGTGACCACACAGACAGCAGGGGTTAGACCGTCAGCCCCTGCTTCTCAGACGGATGCCCGATTACAATTGTCAGTGTCCATTTCTGACTCATTAAAGGAAAGAAATAGACTAACGGTGCCTGAAAAATGCCACCCAACCCCTGAGCCCAAGGAGCTGAGCATGTCAGGGATGTGTAACATGCTTGGCGATTTCCAGCGATGCTCTTAGCATCAAAGAAAGCTTGAGTGTCGAAGGAGGAGGGTGTCCTGCGGGTTTTTTTCCCTCCATTCTTCTCTGTACAAGCACTCCAGATCTGACAAGTAGGGACATAAATTCCTGGGTCAGGGGTGAGGTGCCCTTATATCTTTACTGTTCAGCTTTGAACACACCCCCAACTCAGACACTAAGTAGAGGTGGGTAGCCTTCGATCAGGTTTCAATTCCGTCTCTTACTTCTCACCAGGCAGTAACAGGCAGCTTTTCTTCCACGGGCACAGATATCCTTCATGGAGCTGCCTGGACATGCCTGGAGGTGATGTCAATACTTCCCATCAGGGTCAATATTCTAAACAGAACCTGTGTGGCACAGGCATTGACGGACCAGAGAGGATGCCAGTGGCCATCTCAGCACGCCATGTTGGTGCCGCTGGCCTGCTGAGTAACTGCCCGGCTCTTGACCCATGGGCCCAGGACTCTGGCAAAGGGAATGTGACAGTACACAAGGGGTTTCCCCTGTTTCCAGATACTCCCAAGGACCAAGGTGGAATGATCTGCTCAGGTGCTGGCGGCCCACATACCAGAAGCAAGGAGAAGCTTTTGTGGCGGGTGCAGGGAGCTACATAGTGCAGAGTCCCGTGGAGTGAGAGGTCTCTGTGCAGGTTTTTAGTGAAAAAGACGTATTTATTTATCTTATGGGAATATTGCAATTAAAATCCAGATTTATGATCAAGATACAGTCGGTCTGTGAGGGATAAAAAGAGAACTAGGACATTATGGACAAACACGTGGTAACCTTTTGGGTACTGGGCCCTCAAAATAGTAAGAGCCAGCTCCCCACAAAAGTTCCTAGGTCAGACCTGCCAAATATGCTGTAACCTGTAACTTGCCTCGCTTCTTGGAGAGTCATAATGCACAGAGTCTTCTTAACGTGTCTTGGGAGTTTGGCGGGAAAAAAAAAACAGATTTGATTTTGTTTAACTTAGTGATTTAAACTAATTCGAATGGGTGTTCGTAGGGAGAGGGAGAGAGTCGAAGAATCGCTTCCACACGTCCAGAATCAGACAGCTAAACTCCCACTGTGGGATGTGCTAACCTAACAAGATACCATGTGCATAGACACCGGGAATGTCATGGACAATCCTCAGTTTGCGATGTTAGAAGGTGGGTCCCAGGGCACCATTTCCTAGTTGGGTGTCCTTGACTAGTTGCTAAACCTCTCTGTGCCCTAGTTGCTCCAACTATGCGGTATAGGTAAGAATTTATACCTCCCAGGGTGATGGTGAGGTAAACATTCAAACAGACAATGTTTGTGAAAGTGCTTCGTAAATTCCAACGCACTAATGCATTCAAGGTGTCTCTCCCTTCCCGGTGAGCTTTACTATCTTATCTCCTCCATTCTGGAGACATTAAGAAGAGCCAGTGCACATGACTCTCCTCTGTGCCTCGCTGTGCAGGGACAAGTGCTCTGGGGTTCCTCCGATGGTGGCCCCGACCCTCCCCAGTTTCCCTGTCCCGTGTTGCTAATGGCCAAAGAAAAAGCTCCTGTTTCCTTTAAAGGAGAAAAAAAGATTCCACTTTTGATTTACATGTTTTCCCATCTGATCATTTGTTTTATGCTTGCAGTCTCTTTGGGACACATTTTTCACGTTAATTCTTTCAAGAGTCCCTTCTGGGATTTCACACGCGCTGTTATAAATAATGCTTTCCTTGTTCTGATGTCAAACGGGTGAGTGGTGGGAGAATCTAATAAAAGTTCAGACAGGGTTCACAAGTTTTCCAAACCCATTTAGAACATTTCTGAACATTTCTTTTGCAGGCCTTTCTCAGGATTTTGGAGCATGCCACAAAAGTAGACCAAGTGGGTGGGGGAATAGAGTCACTGTTGTTACCGATTACTGTCACATTCCAGTCACAGCGACTGGATGGCTTTTGGACTTCACAAAACCACATACTGAGTGGCCACAAACACAATGAGGCATTTGTTTTGCATTGTGCTACCTGGCAACTTGCCCTCACACCCTGGCTTCAGTATCTGTGAGATGGAATGCCATCCCAAGTATGACACGGGGAGTCAGAGTGCTGCTTCGAGAGCTGGACCTGCCACGGTGCCGCGCGGGGCTCTCCAAGGATCCAGGCGCGTCAGGCGCGTGCTCGGCAGTAAACTCACCAGACTGAGCTGAAGCCAGATGGGAAATCCACGCAGCCAGGGGCTTGATTTGGACTTGAGATGTTTATTTTCCTCAACCCAAAACACTGGGGACCTAGCTCCCGCTGTGCCATTAACTAGCTCAGCTGAGTCACTTCAGGTCTGGCTTACCGGTAAAATGTGGACAGGTTAGACCAGCCCTTGATTATTTTTAGCACAAAACACTGTGGTTCCGTAATCGCTCACCACCACTTGGCCACCATCATCATCCATCAGCACAGAGTCGTTCACTTTTACAAAGAATTTCCACTCAAAGAATTTCCACTCGAACTCAGTAGTTACACTCAGGGGTAGACATTGGTTTGCCTTCATATTGCAAATAATGCCCCCTAATTTCAGAGAGTTGAAGTAGCTTACGTCAGGGCACACAATAATGTCTGCCCACTGGCTGTCCGGTACTTGTTCCCACGGGTCGTTCTGTGCGTCCTGCTTCTGCAATCTCTAATACATGCCCTGTGTTCAGCCCCCAGGCCCAGTTGTGTGGTGCTTCACCCAGGCCGAACTTACTCATGCCTCTTGGAAGTCTGATCCCCTTTCCTTTCTACCTACTCCCCAAAGAGCTCCTGAAGATGAGCTCAAATCACACCATTTCAAGGAACTCTCAGTCCTGCTGCAGTCCAGTGAATTGCCCAAAGACAGTCCGGCACCCCTCAGCACAGCTCTGGCAACATGGCAGGCACTCCTTTCTTTTGCTAACAGATCACCTGCCTCAAGAAAGATGGGTGCTTCTCAGTTATATCTGGCCAGGCATGAGGGGGTTGGTTGGTAAGCTTATCATGTCTTTGAGCGGGGTTCTTATGAGTGCTGATATTTAGAGAAGAATTCTCAACACGTTCTTTCAAAGAGATCAGCATTCACTACTCTCCTATCTAACCTCCAGTAACTCTCTGAACTCCTGACAGAACCAACCTTGTATTAAATTGATAGAAACTGGCTCATCTATTTGATGCTACAAATAAGAAACATTTAGTGAAATTCATAACTTCTTAAAATTCAACCAAAAATTCTGGAGTTCACATGGAGTACGAGAGCTCCCTGAGTTGTGTGGGGAGCCCTATCCCTTCCTTGATTTGCCTTCTGTGCAGTAGACGGGGGAGGGGGGGCGGGGGTCTATGGTACTGACCTGAAACTATTTGACCTGGGGAGGAAGTCTAGAAAGATGTCATAATGCATAATATGGAGGACTACTTTTCTACATTTGGTGATTAGCATCTCATATCCTCTGAAGCTGGAGAAAAAGGGCAGACTAAAGAAGAAAGTTAAAGTGGGGTGCCTGGGTGGCTCAGTGGGTTGAGCGTCCGACTCTTGGTTTCAGCTCAGGTCATGATCTCATGAATCCTGGGAGTGAACCCTGAGTGGGACTCCGTGCTCAGTGGGGAGTCTGCTTGAGATTCTCGCCCTCTGCTCCTTGCCCCACTCGCTCTCTCCCCCTCCCTTTCTCTCTCTAAAATAAATAAATAAAATAAATCAATCTTTTCTAAAAAAGAAGAAGAATGTTAAGGAGTGAAGAACACAAGGACTGATGACCATCTTGGCCTCTAATCATTGCAACTTGCTTAAGTCAGTGAAATAAATCAGAACCATGT